AGTGGATTGCAAATGGCCACGTAGCGGTCAAAGGCCATGGCCACCAGCACCCCTGACTCCATGGCGGAGAAAGCGTGAACAAAGTACATCTGGGTAAGACAAGCATCCAGGCTGATGGCAGTGGAGCGAAACCAGAAGATGCCCAGCATTTTGGGGGTGATAGAGGTGGACATCACCAGGTCAATGACAGCAAGCATGGACAGGAAGAGGAACATGGGCAGGTGCAGGCTGGGATCAACCTTTATCAGGTACAGGAGGATGCTGTTCCCAGACAGCGTGATGAGGTACATGATGCAGAAGGGGATGGAGATCCAGTGGTGCAGGTGCTGCAGCCCCGGGATGCCCGTCAGGTGCAGCTCCCACAGCGAGGTGTTGGTGGGACACGAGTAGGGCATGGCGGTCACTGCAGGAGCCTGAGTGAGGAGAGCCCAGGCACATGAGGACAGCCGTGCCCTGGGTCACATCAAAGGTCCTATGTCCGGCATCAAAAGCACGTCCTTAGGGAAGAATAAGAGAAAGGAAACACGCCACGGAACTTCTCCTGCGTGCTTTTCAGCTTCCAAAATTTGAAGCTCAGGGACTTCCTGAGCTGGATGTGGTTTATCCATTTTTATTAACCCCAACCGAGAAACCCATCTAGCCTCTTCTGTGCAAAATTTTAGCACCCATGCTGTCTTTTGGTGAGGAGTTTCACAAATTTAAAGGCACCTTTTGTGAAATAACCCCTTTCCTTCCCTGTGAGCCTGACATCTGCTGTTATCGTTTGACGTTCCGTAGCTCTGACGTGGAAACAGGCAGAGAAGAGTTCAAATCATAGAATCACGGAATCACAGAATCATAGAGTCATAGAATCACAGAACGGTTTGGGTTGGAAGGGACCTCAAAGATCATCTAGTTCCAACCCCCCTGCCATGGGCAGGGACACCTTCCACTACACCAGGCTGCCCAAAGCCCCATCCAACCTGGCATCACATTATCAAGGGTAGATCTTCCCAGGCAAATCTGATTTATCTCTTTTTTTTTGTCATTTATAAAACACATTAGCAGATTAAAGTGAAGTTTCTGAGCAAATCATACTCTCAGAACTGCTTGTTCAGTGGAACACCCTCAGGTAGGGCGAACGCCGGGGCAAAGGACCGGGCTGGAGGGCTGCAGATTGAAGTGCATTGGGACAGGGACTTTATGGAAAAATATGGCAAACTAGAGGGAGTTCAGAAATAAGGATGAAGTTAAGTGGGAGAGCTGAGGGGACTGGCTCACCTGCAGAATGGTCTTGAGAAGAGCTTTGAAACATGTTAAACGCTGTAGTGAAGGGGAAAGGAATAATCTGTCCTACGTGTTTCTGGAAGGACACGCCAGGGGTCTAAACCCCAGAAAGAGCAGGAGAAATTCAGTCGAGGCTTAAAGAAAATTTCTCCCATGGTGACGATAGCAATGCACTGATGAGAACAGCTGCAGTGCCCGAGGGGACTGGCGCTCCCTTTTTGCAGAAGACCAAACAGGACAAAAATCTGTTAGAGATGACCCTGGTACAGCCACCTTGTATCGGCAAGGGCGCCGGATTGGGTCAGGTTTTGTTCGTATCTGTATCTTCTGAAGGTCCATGGAGTGACTGCAGAAACACCTTCAAAAACCCACCACGCACGTTCCCTCCCTGCTCCCCCCACCCATGCCCTCCCACTCCTGGGAGCGAGCACAGGGAGCGGAGGAGAATGAAAGCTCTATGCCTGCGGACAAAGCCTACCCTTGAATTTATTCAGCTGCAAAGCAAACTCCCCGAGATGACAACGTGCAAGCTGGTCTGAGGATTTTGTGTCGCAAGAAGCCAAGGTTGCCTAAGATATTTTTTCAAAACTCACAGTGTTTTTTTTTTTGTAGAGAACGTGGTCAAGAAGCATGGGACTGGAGTGGGGCATAGGGTCTTGTTCCAGGCCAGGCTGGATGAGGCTTTGAGCAACCTCATCTAGTGGAGGGTGTCCCTGCCCATGGCAGGGGGGTTGGAACTGGATGATCTTGGAGGTCCCTTCCAAGTCAAACCATTCCATGATTCTATGATTCTATAACTGCTTTATTTTTTTTTATCATTTACAAAGAAAAGACTGCAGCTGCAAATCCTCTTGTGCTGCTTCTATTTAAAACCCGTGCACCAAGGGGTGACCTACCTGGCTCGCTGCTGCAGGTTCATCCAGAGAAATGAGGAGGTACCCGACTCACCAGCCCCTGCTGGAGCGATGCCAGCCAGCCCCGCTTCCACCGGCTCCGTCATTGCCTGCTCCTCTCATCCAGCAGCTTTTAGCGGTGGAAACATTTACAAGCTTGCTGAGAGGAATCCCTGGTGTGCCTGTCTCTCACTTGCTCGTTTGCTAATGACGAACCTCCTAATTCAGCTTGTTTAATTGAAAAGCTATTGTTGCCAATTCCCTGTAGCGCTTGTAACCCTTGCAGCAACTCGAACTCTTCCTCATCCTTTGGCCCCGCAGCCTTCCAAGGGTTCGAGGACCTGCAGGTCCTTGAACTTGGCATTGCCAACTCCCTCTTTTTGAGACACTGAGCCTTTCCAGATGTGAACGAGGTCTGGGTCTCCTTCCAGGAGATGGAGCTCCTGGGCATCCCCCACCCTGCCGGAGGCTGTGAGTCATGGGAGGGATGTCCTGTCTCACACTTGGCTTTTGCATCCTCTACAGCAACAGCAGAAGGAGCTGATAGAACAGCCAGATAGAAATCATGCGACAGACCAATTCTGGCCATTTTGATCTAACTGAAACTGGTTCTGTCTAAGTCTCCTTCTTCTGCAAAGTCAGGGTTTGCCACTGAAAAGCCCCTGACCAAAGAGGGCTGGCACTGCGTGGTGAAAGGGCTGCTGAAAGCAGTGGTGTGCTTCCCTGAAGGGGATGAGATGAGCTGCACCAAGCCTGGCTGGGGGACCCCAGGGAAGGGGAAGGTTGGATGATACTGGGAGCAGTGCGTCCTACCTGGGCAGCACCAGGCAGTGGCACAGGAGGCAGACCCTGTAAGTGGAGAACAAATCCACTGCCTGACAGGCTCCAGGCCATGCACCTGGCACGGGCACTTTCCAGCCCCGATTTGGACCCAGACAATGAGACCCAAGTTGGAAGAGTCTGGTCTCTAAACCAGGTGGGAGGACCTCATGAAGTTCAACAAGGCCAAGGGCAAGGTCCTGCATGTGGGTCAGGGCAATCCCAAGCACAAGTACAGGCTGGGTGGAGAATGGATGGAGAGCAGCCCTGAGGAGAAAGATTTGGGGGTGTTGGGTGATGAGAAGCTCAACATGAGCCAGCACCGTGCACTGGCAGCCCAGAAAGCCAACCGTATCCTGGGCTGCATCCAAAGCAGCGTGGCCAGCAGGGCGAGGGAGGGGGTTCTG